ATCAAAGTATAAATCTGAAATATATATATACTTTGCTTGTCTGTCAGTCTCCTTCAACAAAATTTATTAAATTTTGTAAATCCAAGAAATTTGTTTTATAAAATCCTCGAAATTTTTTTAGTTTTATGTTTTACAGTGTATACAATGAGAAAATGTTCACAATTGAAATAGAAGATGGGCAAGATGAAGCGCCCTGTAAACCTAGTATAAATAAATATTAGAAGTGGGGACGTTTTTGGGAATTGTTAAACCTCAGATTCTTTAGTTAGATCCGTCGTTTCTATAGTTTACAACATTTTTGTTTCGTTATTTTAATTACGATTTTTATTACGAGATTAGTTCCTGTATTTGGTCGAATTGGGTGGTTTTAGTGATTATAATTTACCACTACTTCACATCAGGGTAGTTTATAACATTTTTTAACCCTATTCAAGATGACGTCTGGTTTACTCAAAATAGTCAGGGGGCGGGTTTGCCCCACTAACCCCTCCCCCCTGTATTTCCTTTTTGTGATACAAATCTATAACATTTGAAACAATTTTGAAAAGCCCTTGGGCTCTACTCAATAATCTGCAAAGAAATTAGCAAATTTGAAAAATTCCAATATTTATTGCAATATCAAGTTATCAAGCAAAAAATGTGCAAAAACAACAAGTGCGGAAAAAGTGAAAAAAACAAATTTTAAAGCCCTTACCACAGTGAATGCAAACATGTTCAAAAAATGTTCAATCTGCTTTTTTTGTTCAAAGCTTTACAAAAAGCTGTAATAAGTCGAAATCCAGTGACTGGAAGTAGGTCTTAATATAGATTTAAAAAGGCATTTAGGCAGTAGTAATTAAAAAATTTGTTTTCTTAACAATATTTTTTATTCCTTACTTAAAATTTTTTTTTCGAACGTCCATTGAGATGCATAAAGCATTTGCATTATTGAAGACCAGAAGAGCCTGACAAATATAAAAACACAAAATCGTGAACCGCATATTTGTACTACATATTAGGCAAAAAATAAAAACAAAATTTAAATCAAATTAATTACTGGATTAATAACACGGAAAACAATATACACCAAACACCAGACTAACATTACAAAATGAATTATAAATAAAAGGCCAAATTTATATTAAGATATTAAATATAAATCAAAGAACAGACTGAAATTACGGAATTGATTTTAAATTAAACACCAAAGTAGAATTAGGGAATGTACTGTAGAGTCAATACCAGATTGAAATTACTCTCGTATTTTTTGCATTAAATACCTGAGTAGTTTTTGGAATAGATTAAACAGTAAAACACCAGATTGTAAATAATTATGGAATAGATTATAAACTAATCACCAGATTGATAGTAAATAATTGATTATGCATCAAACACCAGATAGAAATTATGGAATGAATTATAAACTAAACACCTGATTGATAGTTAGGAATTGATTTTGAATCAAACACCAGATTGAAAATAAGTAATAGATTATAAACTAACACCAGATTGAAATTACGGGAAAAATTATAAATAAAACACCAGATTGATATTACGGAATAAATTGTATAATCAAACACTTGATTATTATTACGGAATAAATTATAAATCAAACACCAGATTTCTATATTACGAAATAGATTATAAATAAAACACCATATTGATATTACGGAATAAATTGTTTAGTCAAACACTAGATTAATATTACGGAACAAATTACAAATAAAGCACCAGATTGATATTACGGAATAAAGTATAAATCAACACCTGATTGTTATTACGGAATAAATTATAAATCAAACACCAGATTGATATTACGGAATAAATTGTTTAGTCAACCACCAGATTGATATTATGGAATAAATTAAAGATCAAACACCAGATTTTTATAACGGAATAAGTAATAAATCAAACACCAGATTACTATTACAGAATAAGTTGCTAAATCAAACACCAGATTGATATTACATTATAAATTATAAATCAAACACCAGATTGTTATGACGGAATAAATTGTTAAAGCTAACACCAGATCGAAATTACGGAATAGATTGTTTTATCAAACACAAGATTGCTATTATATACGGAATAAAGTATAAATCAAACACCAGATTGCTATTACATAATAAATTATAAATTAAACACCAGATTGTTTTGACGGAATAAGTTATAAACAAACACCAGATTACTATTAAAGAATAAATTGTTAAATCAAACACCAGATTGATATTACGGAATAAATTGTTAAATCCAGCACCAAATTGATATCATGGATAAATTATAAATCAAACACCAGATTGATAATACGGAATAAAGTATAAATCAACACCTGATTGTTATAACGGAATAAATTATAAATCAACCACTTGATTGTCATTATGGAATAAATTATAAATTAAAACCAAATTGTTCGACCAGAACAGCTCTATCCATGCTAAAAGTTATTTAAATAATATAGTTCATATATGTACCATTGTAACACGGGCAAAAACATAAAATTTCAAGTGTCGAATTTTTTCCTTATTTTTTTGTAATTCCACGGGCAGCGCAGGGTAATTCAACGAGTTGTATGTACAAGGAACCAGTCATCTTTTATAAACTTCACAATGACATGACATGCATACTTTATAGTGTACTAGGAGGGGGGGGAGGGTCAGTTCTCGTAAAAATACCAATTTTTTACTTTAAACTGTTTACCTACAAAGCTGTGCGGTATGGATGGCCTTGATAACTAGATATTGGATACTTTTTGATAACTAGATATTGGATACTTTTTGGATTCTTTTTCAAGATTTGTAGAATTTTTGAAAATGATAAAATGTCGAATCCAGAAAAATTATTTTAAAAATCTATTTTGAAGATAGAAATCCGAATTTATAAAAATAAATTAAAATTTTCATTTTGAAATTTGTAAAATTTTGAAAATCAATATACTGCTGTGCAGCAGAATTAGTCAATTATTAAAAATGAGTGGAGATGGGTTCAGTTCATTTTTTCATTTCTTCAGTTCATTGTTCGTGAACAATCCGTTCCATTCGTTTTTTTATTGTTAAAAAAATTGATTTCGTTTTTAAAAAAGGTCTTTTAATAGCTTATGTTTTTTTATTTAATATTTCTTGAATATTTAAAAAAAAAAATTTGTTTTAAGTATGTTAATTGAGGTTGGTTTAAATTTTTTATTTTTTTCAAAAACAAAAAAGTTTTGACAAAAAAAGTATTTTTTGTCAATTTTTTTGTTCTTCAACATTTTGCTGCCCTTTAACTTCGAGCCCAGAGGTTCCCCCAAAAAATTTGTAGAATGAAATATGTTTGTTTTCCCACAGGACACACGGTCAAATGAAAGATTTACAATTCTAGATTTTCCTGTTTTGGGAAACAAAGAATAAGAAAAAAGTCCTGGAGAGGGTAGATGGAGCAGGGGCGGCCTATGATATATTTTTATTTAAGGGGGGGAGAAATTATTAATATATTGCGCGCGAAGCGCGGCAAATTTTTTCAATCCCCCCCTGTGCAGCTTGGGTGTGGAATGTGGACAATTTTTTTTATCTTTTCTTAAAAATCATAATTTTTCCCGGAGGGGGGGGGGGAAATCCTTCCAGTTGTCCAGGGAGGGGGACTTCCCCCTATTCCCCCCACAAGCCGTCTTTGGATGGAGGAGGGGGGGGGGGTTGAATATTTAATTAGAATGTGGTTTAGATTATGTAAGCAAGCAAGCCATAAAATTTATACACTGCGCTTTAAATTCAGATATCAGATAAAAACCAGTATTTACAGGGGAATTGTTAAAGATTGAAAACTTCTAGGTATTTTATTAATTTTAAAAAAAGGACGAAATGTTGCCGAAGAATCTAGAACCATCTATGTGGATCTATTCCAGTAGGAATTATGTATTGAACTTCAATACCTTATATTTAATACCATTTTTTTACCTTTCCTGCTCAAATTGATTTTTATCAATTTATTTTTTAACGATGTTAAAAACTGGTTTCAACCTAGAGATGAAGTTTCCAAGAAAACAAGTTGCAATTTGATGGTATTTTTGTATCTTGAACGCTAAATTTTATGTGTGTCCATAGTACTATATCATATAAACCTTTAATTGTTAAAGGATGGCGGACTTATTCATTATCATTATTTTATATTATAAAAGCTATCTATATTTACTTTCTATAGAAGTTGCAGAAAATAAATATTTTCATTCAATTTTTTTGTTTAACTTCTTACAAAGAATATTTATGATTCTTAAGAAATACTAAAACCAGCTAGATTGAGTGCACTGTATTGTAACCAATAGCTCAGAATAGGGATAGTTCCATTAAGTAACCCCTTCAGTTCTCATACGAAACCGGAGCTAAGCTCAGATTGGATAGTTCAATCGATGTAATCCCTTAGCCCTCATACGGACACGGAGCTAAGCTCAGATTGGATAGTTTCATCGATGTAATCCCTTAGCCCTCATACGGACACGGAGCTAAACTTGAATTGCAAGTAGGACTGGGCGTTGTTCTAGAAAAAATTAAGAATATACAAATTGCACACACCCCTTTTTTAAGATAAACCTGGATCTCAGCACTTACACCCATCATACATTTTAAGGATTTTATGACCCCCACTCTTCCCCGAGCTTGACAAAAATATACGTTGCTCGGCTCAGACCTTATCTAAGCTTATACTTTTAACCCTAAATATTGAAAATGGTAATAGTGTATATGGCAACAGACACTCTGTAGCTATCTGGTAATTAGAACATCATTTTAAATTAAAAACATAAATTACTCGGTTGTCGCTGATTAGGCCACTGCACTGTTGTGAATCCAACATGGACAACTTATCTTTCCTTTCACATCTAATTGTTTTGAAATATTCAGATAACAGAAACCAAATAAACAAGAAATATTCATTTGTTTTGCTGGGAAACTTTGTACTTTTTTAGTCAATATTTTCAAATAAAATAAAATGAATTATAAAGAACTTTTTTTACACAATGAAATAGAACAATGTCACAATCATTTAACTATTAGTTTCTTTGGGTATCATTTATTGACATGGTTTGTACTATATTGTATTAATGTAAATCTATGGTATAATATCTGACTTTTAAAGATCAAGATTGGCCATATATGCTTTGGCAGAAATTCCACAAGGACTTCCAGGATTGAAGTCTGGTGTGGCGGCAACAGCATCAAGGAATGCAACTCCTGCAGCCTCATTGGCACCAGCTTCTGATGCTCCTCCAAGATAAGCATTAAAGTAGGCTTCAGCAGAGGTTAGGCAAACAGGATCAGGCCTGTCCATGTTAGAAAGAATAGCTTCGTCCATGAAAGCAAGCATAGCTGCGGCATTAGGTGGGCTGGGCTTGTCCTTGATGTTGGCGGCATAAACTCTTGTAGAAATTAGACAAGGAGAGTTAGCGGGGACCTTGGCTCCTTTCTTGTATTCCTGAATAAATGCAAGGGCAGCAGCGAAGTTTGAGGAAAGCTCATCCTTTCCAGCCTTGTAAGAGTTAAAGAAGGCAATAGATGCAGATGCACAAGCAGGGTCATACACCCTTTTGTTGCCCTGGTCAATCATAGCATCCATGAAGGCAATCATGGCCTCAGCATTAGGTTGGCTTGGCTTTACTGGAAGGGTTTGGAAGTAGGCTTTGGTAGCAGCAACACAAGGTGAATCAGCTGCAATGTGGTCTCCTTCAGCGAAAGCAGCAAAGAAAGCCTCAGCGGCAGCAAGGTTAGCATCAGTTTCAGTAGCTCCAGATTTGTAAGCATTCCTATAATTTTGAAAAGTTAATCAATTTAGAAATTACTATGCTTTTCTAATATTTTTAAAACTTTACTATTGAATGGTACTCACCAATATCCCCTGGTTGATGCGGCACATACAGGGTCAGGTTGACGGACACCTCCAGCAATCATCTTATTCATGAAAGCTTCCATAGCGGCCTTGTTTGGTGGAGATGGGGGGTTCTGAATATTCTGATAGTATGCAACAGTAGCAGCAGCACATGGAGAATCAGCAGGAATTCCAGCACCTCCCTTTGCAAATTCATCAAAGAAAATCTCAGCAGCAGCAAGATTCGAAGTCAGCTCATCGTTTCCAGCAGCATAGGAGTCAAAGAAAGCTTCAGTAGATCTCCAGCAGACAGGGTCATATTCAAAGCTGAATCCAGAGAAAGCTTTGTCAATAAATGCAAGCATGGCAGCACCGTTAGGAGGAGAGGGTTTGTTTGGTAAGGCATTGTAGAAAGCTTTTGTTGCGGCAGCACATGCGGGATCTTTCAATTCCTTACCTTGAGCTGCAAGGTTCTGGATGGCAGCTGCAAAGCTCTTAGCAGCAAGAAGGTTAGCTTGAGTATGTGTTGCTCCTTCTATGATGGCGCTGACATAATCTCTTCCAGAAACAGCACAAGGGTTACCTTCCTTGGTTCCTGGCCAGTTTTCCATGAAAGCAATTGCAGAGTACACCACAGGGTCCTTTCCTTCAGCTTCAGCTTGTCTCCAGGCAATGTCACTGGCCTCGCAGGCAGATCCAGGGGCAACATACAAACCATTGTTGTAGTCATCAATGTAGATCTTTGTAGCAGCAGCATTAGCATCATCTACAGAACCTCCATTTAGGATAACCTCAAGATACAGCTGGGTAGATCTGGCACAAATGTCGTTGCTTCCAATGGCTTTCATGTAAGCCAAAGCAGCAGCAGCATTAGGTGAGGTCAAGTCTCTGGGAGCATTGATGGCAGCGGTGATGGCAATTGGGATCTGTTTAGCTTTCTGAGCATAGGCGACAGAGTTTATAGGGAAACTCTTGTGATCAGTACGTGGTTGAAGAGAGGCAATCTGTGGAGTCAGAGGTCGTCTAACACTGACATCTAATCTTCCAAGGTTGTATCCTTTAGAGTAAACAGTTGGTTCAGGAGCAGGAAATTGGCTTACTGTTTTAGGAGAGTTAACATCTTGAACTTTTGAAATCAAAGGAGCAGCTACGGAAATAGGAGCTGCTACAGTTAAGGGTGCATATTGAGCAACCTTGTAAGTGGGAGCTGCTGCAGTTAAAGGTGCGTATTGAGCAGCATTGTAAGTGGGAACTGTTGCCACAGAGTGGGAAAAATAAGGATAGGATACTTGGTAGGGTTTAGAGTAACCATATGTTAATCTGACTGGGCTGTAGTTGAATTGGTAATGTGGTGCAGCACAGGCCAAAGCCGTGTTTAGTAGAACACCCTAAATTAAAAAGATAAATTTATGATCATAATACAAATTTGTAAGTTGCATGGAATAGATTTTAAAAACTGACGTAACTAATTTATAAGAAAAAATTGTAAAATAAATTTGATAAAATTAAAAATTCCAAGATATTAAAGATAAACAAAAGTCAAAACTTTATAAATAGTTGAAATTTAAGGATGAAAAATGTGAAAAACTGAGAAAAAAATTTAAACTCACAAAAAATAAAAATAAGAGCAAAAACTTGCAAAAAAATTAATTTGTGAAAATTATCAAAAAATATTAAAACTAATTTTATTTGAAATCTTACCAAAGCAAGTTTCATTTTGATGAATTGAGATGAACTTTGTCTGTTGACAACTTCAAGTCAATATGTTTAGTTTGAAGGTGCTACAGTTTATATAGGAGAGGAATCAACGCAGATTTAGAGTATTATGGAGCACATTTTTCCAGGCCATCCCACCAGCGCATCCAGGATTTCTCATGGGATCACTTCAAATATTAGTATAATACGGAGTAAATACATAACGTATCGTCGCTAAACTTATCAAACTACAAAATATATCAAACTACAAAACATTTCAAACTAAAAAACATATCAAACTACAAGACATATCAAACTACAAAACATATCAAACTACAAAACTTATCAAAATAACTACAAATTTTATTTTTTAAACAATTTTAAACGTTGTACAATTTAGACTAGACTAAGAATTTTTTTCTATAAATCATTAATCATCTGTAAAAAGGCTGGCAATATGGAACAGATATGTGTTCAAGGGTACACTTTCAAAGCTTGCACACATAGATTTCAGGTCTTCTCTGTTCTGTTTCCATCTCGGAGAACAGGGCCCAGGAAATTTAAATTCTGAGTTTACCGAATTTTCTCTCGTACATTCATGGATTTTCAAACAATTTTTTGGAACATTTCAATGATTTGAAATTTTAGATTCATGAATTTTATTGATAAGTTTTGAGTTTGACAGGTTTTGTAGTTTGATAAGTTTTATAGGTGATAAGTTTTTTTTTGATAAGTTTTGTTGTTAAATAAGTTGTGTAGGTTGATAAGTTTTATTGTTAGATAAGTTGTGTAGGTTGATAATTTTTATTGATAGATAAGTTGTCTATGTTGATAAGTTTTGTTGGTAGATAAGTTGTGTAGGTTGATAAGTTTTGTTGTTAGATAAGTTGTGTAGGTTGATAAGTTTTGTTGTTAGATAAGTTGTGTAGGTTCATAAGTTTTGTTGTTAGATAAGTTGTGTAGGTTGATAAGTTTTGTTGTTAGATAAGTTGGTTAGGTTGATAAGTTTTGTTGGTAGATAAGTTTTGTCGCTGAAAAGATATGTTTTGATAAGTTTTGTATGTGCTCCTTAAACACAATAATCTATTCATAAATAACGATCTTTTCAACTGTTTTGGCAACGATTAAACAAGTTTTTACGACGTTTTCATTAAAACAAGACTAACTAAAATCATTTTTTTAATTAGATAAAATCATATATTTTTTGCAGAGATAATTACAACAGATTTTAGCAAAACACAACAAATATAAGTAAAACTACTGCAGCAGAAAAATGTATTATTATCTTTTTTGATATATTTGAAAGCCAACTATATTTTTTCTTGGCTTCCAGGGCTCGCGCCACTTTTTCATTTTAGATTTAAGCTTTCAAATGTATTTCTTGCTTTAGCCTTATTTCCTTGGCCCGTACAGGGTGTCCTCAGTGGTAGGCGACTATATCAATACAATGAAGACGACTTATTTATTTAAGTTTTGGACAATAAATCGAAGTTAGAATTAATTATTTCCCTTTTCCTTAATATATTGAATTTCTTTTTATATGAATTTGTTCCCAGATTTCTTCAAATTCTTCAAATGTCGTCTTTTTAATAAGAAATAAAAATCTGCAGAAATTCATTGCGTTTAAAGAGAAATTATAGAAACTAATAATTGAATAAGATTACTTAATTTCGATATTAAGAGTTAATTTTTATATTCTCATCTTGTTCCTAAACAACTAATTAGTTTACTGTAGAATTTTGTTTATATTTTTTAACGTCGTTATCTAATAATTAAAAAAATTCTGAAAACGCATCAACCCAAAAGTACGAGTTTGAAAAGTTTAATATGTCTCAAATGAATCCTAAAGAATTTGTCCACAACACTGCATACTCAGTTTAACTTCCTTACATAGCCGGTCTGTACCTTTAAAGGGAATGCAGGATTAACCTAAAACTATCCATTATTTGAGGGACATTCCTGATTCACAACGATAACCCTTGAAACCTAAATCAAGACTTGAAACGTGTTTAATTCTGAAAATGACTCCCTTGTATCTCAATATTCAATGTGGGCTGGGCACTTATGAATTTGAAGATACGTGTTTGATCTCGCAGATTATGAAAACCACGTGATTCTCCATAGGTCTGCTTAAGATGGGGATAAATGCTTGATCCCGAGAATATTATTAGACAAAGCCTTAAAAATTAATAATATTTTTTATTAAAAGAATAGTTTTTCCTTTAATATTTTTATTTCTCTTTCAGCTCGATCATATAAATCTGTAGAATGAGGGTTGGAATGGATACCCCCAGAGAAACTTATTTACAAAATGTATGTGAAATACCTCCCCTCTCAACCCTTTGAACTTTAAACCCACGATTGTCTTTATGCAGGAGTGTTGTAGAGAAAAAACGGGTTTGTCTATTCTGTTAACCCTATTCTGATTGGGATATTTTTTTCTAATATAGATTGGGGAGGGGGGGGGGTGTTTTCCATCTCCCACTAGGATTTTTCCCTTAGAGTTGAGATAGTTCAATGTAATGCATGTCCCTATTCCAACTTTTTAAGGCCTGATCATAAAAAAATTATACATGTAGCTTTAATGGTTAGGGTGTAAGGGAGGATTTTTTAAAAGTTCAAAAAGTACGTCAAAATTTTTTAAAAAATAGTTACTTTGACTTTTTACAAATATAATATATGACACATGTTATGATCCATTTCTCAAGGGCTTTCTAAATATTGAAGTCTTAGCTCTGTAGCTTAATTAATAAAAATGTTATTTACCATTTCTGATTTTTTTAATATTTTAAACTAGAAGAATGTGAATTGTACAGTGTTGTCGAAAATATAAAAGTTTAAAGAGTAATCTAGAAGTTTTAAAATCAATCCTAAAAAATTGGCAAATTTAAATAGTACAAATATTTTTTTTGGCAACTAAGGCTTTAGAGGTTGCAGATGCATTTCTGAGTACGATACGCACTCCGTTTTAGATATATAGAACTTAAAAGGAGAATTATAAATTGACTAATTGAAAATCAACCAACTATAGATTCGGTCAGAGATAACATTTTTACAAAATTGTAATTGTATTTGTTTGTATGTCCGATCATAGCTCATGAACCTCTTGACTGATTTGGCTCAAATTCTGATTGGTTTAATTGTTAAAAACAATGGGAATGAAATAAACTTGATCTTCTCCTTCTGTCAGACTGATTTAGCATGCAAATTTCAAAATTTAAAATTCTTTTTATCATCCGAAATTGCGCATAAATTGAAATAATGTAAAATAGCCTGAGAACTCGGATTAAAATTGATTAAAAATGTCTCAAATTTCCATTATTTAAACTGACGTTAAATTTCCGAAAACGAAAATATTTGACCTTTCAATGGAAAAAGACTGGGATTTACTTTGTTACAGTTTCGGAAACCACTGTCGTTGTGTAATCTTTAATATGCCGCAGGGTTTGGATAAATTCAAAATATAATCTACAGCTCCCAACAAACGGGTATCTAACATAAAGCTAATTCATCTAAATTTTTTAAGTTTAAAAATGTATACAACAATATTCAATCGATCTTTCATGGAGTTAAATGATTCTTGAAAGGAATACAAATTTCTATTATTCTTTAAAAAACCTTGAATAAGAACTTTTGTCAGCAACAGTGACCGAATTTAATGAATCTGAATTGAACTGTCTACGGCCGATTCAAATTTAAATCACCTAGTCATCCATCCTTAATCTTCAACTTTGAATCGGTGTTCCAAATTTGAACCGGCAGTAGGTGTTTAGCAACCTAGCTTAATTTCATTAAATTCTGTCCAAGTTTTATCTTACAAGTGGAGGAGAATTTTATTCAATGTTTAGTTTAGATCTTTCAAAGCACCAATCTGATAAACAACAATCTAAGTATGTCAATGATACATATTAAAAATTTTAAAAACGACAATATCTTCCACATTTTTGATCAGATAACGGTTTCAAGGATATTGTTGTGAATCGGACATTGCCTTCTTTGCATTTTCGTAGCAAAAACATGTCATTTTTCTAAAACTCAATCTGTTTCCACATTTTATTTGAAACTGTGATTATTGAATTTCCTATAAACACTTAAATGAGAGAATTTCAACTTTTGTAAACTTTGCTTTTAATTTTATAAATGGTCAAAATTAATCATATTTGATTTGATTTGTATCGATATAAAACAATATTATAATTGTGTTTTATTAGACTTAAATATAATTAAATGAAAGATAATATTTATCTCTGCATTAGATATAGATACTTACCATTACAATAAAGACATCATACGGTAACAGTGTCACAATCACATTGGACTGTTCCCAAGTAACCAAAGTGAGGAATTTCCCCAGATTCTCCAACCGTGGTGACTTTCTTTGAAGAATTTCCGAGGAATTTCTCGAGAATCATTTCCTGTAACTGATTCCACGGAAATTCTCGAGAAATTCCCCAGAATTGGTCCCAAAGATGAGAGATTTTTGTGGGATCACAGTTTTGAGACTCAGTTTCGAGAGATTCCTGAATAATTCTTTGGACTTGGTCACCATGTTTACGGATTTTTAGGGGATTTTATTAAGAGAATTAGTTTCGAGAAATTCCTGGGAATTTCTCCAGAATTTCACCCCAAGAAAATCCTGAGAATTTCTCCTGATTACTTCTCCGGAAATTCCTGAGAAATTCTTAGGACTTGGTCACCATGTTTACGGATTTTAAGGGCATTTAGTAAAATAATTAGTTTCGAGAAATTCCTGGGAATTTCTCCGGAATTTCACCCCAAGAAATTCCTTAGAAATTTTCCTGAATGCTTCTCCGGAAATTCCAGAGAAATTTTTAGGTTTTGGTCACCAAGTTTACGGATTTTTAGGGGAATTAAATAAGAGAATAAGTTTCGAGAAATTCCTGAGAACTTCTCTGGAATTTTTCTCAAGAAATTCCTAAGAATTTCTCAGGAATATTTCTCCGGAAATTCCATAGAATTTCTCAGGACTTCATCACAGAATTTTCAAGTTCCATTTTTCTCCAATAGGTGTCCCTGAGGTTCTCTTCTATTATGCACTGCCCTAACTAATTTTTTTTTCTTTGCATCCTTCTATCTATATATATATTTGGCTTGTCT